TATTCAAATTCATGTCCAATGCAAACGTAAAACAATAAAATGAAATAAGAAAGGAAAACTAAATAAGAGGAAAATAGCATATACATGGTCGAACATACCTGGAGGCCCGCAAAGCCCTTGTTGTCTATGTCAGAAAGTGAGACCCAGGTCCCAATATGGACCTTGTCTTGAACTTTGTTCTAGATTTTGAAGTGTCGTGTCGTCTACAATGCACTCATTCATTTTGCATTGCAGGATAGACTTTCATTTTAATTCTACATTTGATGGTGTGGATACGCAGTGCACTTTTGCATTGGAGGAGATGTCCTAAGGGGATGTCAAAGATTACGAATCGGGTGTCTGTCCGATTATAGTTTTATTAGTTTAATTGTTCATATCGAAGAATTTCGAGTTAGTCAGTTAGGTACTAGATAGTGACAGTTCCGACTCATATTCATTTTCTGAGTCTTACCATTAAATAATTTTTATTTGAAGAATTTTAAACATGAATATTCACCTTTTTAAAAATAAAATAAAATTCAGACTAGAATTATCTACTAACACGCTATGTATAACTAACTAGATCTGGTTTTGTGTCATTCTTACACCATTTCTGATTTCAAATTATTCATTCGGGCTTGGGCAGCTAGGACTTGGGCCGTGCAAATCAGCAAATATATATTACATATTTACATATATAAGGCTATGCAAACAAAAATAGCCCTAATTTAAATTTTTTCATGTTTTTGGGACCCTGACACCCAAGCTCCATAGCCTTACATAAGGCACGGCCTTAACAACGAAATATAAGACACTCAAAACGAAGAAGCATATTTATCGTAAATAGAGTCTTGCATTCGAAATTTTGTTCAAGTTAAATGCCACACATGTTCTGATCAAATCTGCAATGATTTTTAATTTCTGAGTAATATGTGCCTATTTGTTATTATTTTGTAAACGAAGTATAAACACAAGTTTTAAAAATCGATAAGATCTTTTCAACCAGATATAATACGCCAGGGGCGGATGCACCTTATAAACAATGGGGGCACTTGCCCCCAATAACCTTTGGCTTTTTAGGTTTTTTTTTTCAACTTTTTGTCAATTAATCAATTGTGCCCCCAACAAAAAAATTAGAGTGCCCCCATTAAATACTTCAGAATCATTTGCAATGCAAATGTTACAAAGCTTTAACCTGCCATAAAAATTTACGAAGTATTTTGTAAATGTTCACTATCATTTTAACCTTATATTATTCTAATATCTAAATCCTAAAGAAAAAACTTTCAAAACAAAACCTTAAAGAAGAATGCTTAAGCAGTTACGCAAGATAATTACCCACTATCGAAACAGTTTTATAAAAATTACACTCTACAATTGGATTAGTCTCTAAAGAAGGTTTATTAATTAGAGGTTTTTCAAAAATACTATTAAAATAAAATGTATTAGTAAAAATATGATTAAAAATAGAGAATATTACCCGAAATAGGACTTAAAAAGTTTGAAAATTCCAAAATAGGACGGTCATGTTTTTATTCCCAAAATAAGACTAATTACTGCCATGTTTTGGCAGTACCAGACCTAAAAATGACAGTATTTTCCAACCTTGACAGTAATTACTTCTATTTTGGGAATAAAAAACATGACAGTCCTATTTTGGAATTTTCAAACTGTTTTAGTCTTATTTCGGGAACTTTCCCTTAAAAATACTATGAGTACAATGTCATGATCAATCAAGTATGAAATTGAGTTTAGTTGGATTGAAATTTTAATCAGACAATTTAAGGACTTTGACTTTTATTTATTTGATTATTTAAGAAGAAAACATATTTAATCCTGATTTAGAACTTTGTCAATGTTTTAGTTCTATTTCGAGTAATTTGTTTATGAAGAATGATATAACTTACATCTCTTTAAATTCAAGTATATGTTTGTTATTTCAAACTTTTATAACTTTTACTCCATCCGGTCCTAAATAAATTTCACAATTTGACTTTACGTTCTTTAAGAAAGTGGAATTTTTTCTTTTAACTTTCTCATCATGATCTAACGAAAAGTAGGTTATGTGTAGTGAGAGAGAAAAATGAGTGTAAAGTAAGTAATAAACTTAATAAAGTAAGAGTATTATAAAGGTAACTATATTAAAAAGTTATCAAAAAATAGAGGTTTGAAGCTTATTTTAGACCTACCCAATAAGAAAAGTGTGAAGTTTATTTAGAATCGGAGGAAGTATTTGGTAAGCACGGTGCCCCCAATAACTAAGTTTTCTAGATCCGCCCCTGTAATACGCTTGATACTAGACGAAATATATCAATATATGATCAAATCAAATATTATACGCGTTTGGAGTGAAACTGGATATGTTTATGGATTTCAAGTTCATATGTACCTACTCTCTTTAATACGAAGTATATTGTAAATGAAGTCCGAACACTGGTTTTAGAAATCACAACGATCTTTTCGAGGTGATATAAAACGTTTCAAACGAAAGACCATACATCAAGATATGATCAAATCGAATATTTAGCCTGTTTTTATGATATAGCATTTTCAGAGTATATATAGCATATTTGACATAAATAGAGTCTTGGATTCAACATACGGTACATAAGGTACCCATGTCTTAATAATTTGAAACAAAGCCTGAATACGAGCTTTAGAACATAAAAAGATCTTTCCAACAATATATGAAACTCATCACATGCAAAACAACACTGGAATATCTGATCAGGTCATTGCAATACCTTTTCATAATCAACGCGGTCATTATATTTAATTTCTGAGTAATACGTATCTATCCTCTGATATTTTGTAAATGAAGTCTGAGCCTATGTGTAAAAGCCTTAGAACTCGATAGACTCTGTCAAAATTTCTTCGTTCAATTCTCAGTGGAAGAGCCTAATGACTTAGTTGGTACACATGAAAGGAAGAACAGATCAAATTGTCAATTACTCCCTCTATCCCATACAATTTTTTCAACTTTTCATTTTCATCCGGCCTAAAATAATTTTCGCTTTTGTATAATTGTACAAAGTTTTGAGTTCATATCATTTTTTCCCTCTACATAACTCTCTACCACACAATTTTTTCACCTTCTTAATTTGTGTGAAATCAATTTGGAAGATTATGTTGTGACGAAGCCACGAAGGTAATATGATATTAAAAACTGATGGGCATAATTATGTTTTTATAGTTACCACAAATTTTCATTAGCGGGTCCTGCCGTCCGGGCATTCCACAAGATAATGAGTTCCCAAGTCATGAAATTCTAGACAAGAAACCCCCGTTAATTTTAAAGTATGAGTAGAAGTATTATTACAATTTATGTTATGTCGTGCCCAAAAATATTCAAGTTCAGAAAACAACCTCAAAATCAGTGAACTTCCTTCGTCCCTACGACATTCAATTACAAATGCCCATTAATTCATTGCAAATAACAAATTCCCTTTAAATCATTCATCCAAAAGAAAGGACTTAACACGCGAAACCCAGAGTGATGTATGATTTTTGTGCATTGCTCGTAGTATTTAATATGAGCACAACTCCTCATGTTTGTAGTATATTTATATAATGTAGTACCATAAAAACTTAGGTGCAAGTTAAATAAATTACACGAAGATGACGTTGCTAGATTCATAGCTTGAGGTGTTACATGCAATTAACAAATTTGTTAAAATCGTATTTTTATATCGAACCGATATAGGATTCAAGAATCGAATCAATAAATCGAATTGTAAATTTTATAAAAAAGTTAAATAAATATTAGGTAAAGGGTACTCACAATTAATTAGTTAAAGTTTATATTCAGATCTTAGATGTGTCAATTAAATTCGACACAAAATTAATAGAAATTTAAAAAATAATCACTTAACAAATAAATATAATGTTTTTATTAAAGAATCAAAGAGTGTGGTAGGGAAAATAAATACTTCGTTTAATGTTTAATTAAAGAACATAAGAGTGTGGCATGGGGAAGAGGTTAGAAAAGGAGCAGATTTTTTCAAAAGCTCACTGCTTCCATGAGGCTCAGAAGCAGGCACAATCGAAGAGTGTAGTGAGTGGGGGGGGTCTAGTTGTCGGGTTGAAGGTGTGGAGAAACCGGGAACGGGTAGATTAAAGGTAAACACTGATGCAACTGTAAGAGGCAAAGACAATGCAAAGTACATGGGTTGGGATGGGTGTTTCGCGACTCCTATGGGGATTTTATTGCAGGTATGGCGAAACCTTGATACAGGAAGTGCTCTACTCTTGAAGTAGAGCTAATTTGTATTCGGAGAGGCCTTTTGAACCGCTGTAAAAAGAAAGGTTTTAATCTTCTACACTTTGATTCTCACACTTTGCAAGTGATTAATGTGATCTAGAAGGGTGATCACACTAGTAAATGCGGTCTTCTTGTAAATGATATTAGAGAGATCGAGGCTGGTTTTACTAGAATTTCTTTCTCTGGTGTTAGATTAGATTCGAATTGTGTTGTCCCATTTATTGATTAGGGTGTTCGATTCTTTATTTGATTGTCGAGTTTAGATGAATTTACCTTCTCATGGTATCGTGCATGCTTTGGACATTGCCGTTATGAATGAAATGTGATTTTACTTTTCTAAATAAAACGTTTTATCAAGTTCACCATTGCAATTATTAACAATTCCCCACTGGAAAGGGATGGAAATTGCTCCTCTTGCTTCCCTATGTAAGGCTCGTCTTGGTGGAGTTGGTGCGAACAACGCAAAAAACTCTAATTGCCCTATTTGACTAGGCTTGGTAAAATCGTGAAACCGAAGGCATTGTGATTCAAAACGATTTTTGCGTTTTCAGAAGGAAAAAAACGATTTTGTAAATTTCTGACTTAGTATATGATTTGAATCAATTGTTACTTTGTGTCGTGAAATTGAGCGATTGTACAAGTTAAATCGCAATTTGAATAACCTTGATTATTAATTAATAGTAACACGATGAGGTTTGATGAATCTTTCAACTCACCAGATGTCACAGAATTTGCATATTCAAAAGCCCCCCCCCCCCCCCCCCAATTAACCTGCAGTAAAAGGACTCCACAAAATTGAAATCACAAAATTTACAACTATAGTAGGTCTACCCCTCCATATCGCCGGGATAGAAGAAGCATATCATCATGGTAAGTGCCAACTTTCAAAGGTAAAGGCTAAGGAACAAAGAAGTTTCAACACCATTTTGGAATTTCTAGTTCTTTTCAACTCCTATCATTGAGTAGACTAGATAAGCCACTGGAATGGGAGCATCTCTGAAGCAGGAGTAGGTTGTGGAAGAGTCGTGGGACTATTACAAACGCTGCCATCCGACTGGGAGAACGGTGTGGCGGCCTTTGGCTGCTGTAGAACCCCTGACGGGGAAGAGACGCTACTAGTCCCGGCCTGACTAAACGAATCCCCGTCATTTTGCTGTTGGCTGCTGCTCGGTTTCAGAACCTCCCCCAACGGCCCTCCCGACTCAAATGGAGCCCACAAAGAAAGGGGCGGTTTCCATGTTCCGATGTTGTCTCCAACAGTCGCCATTGGTGTGTTCGACCATACATCCTCCTCGGGATTGTTGAAATACACATTTCCCTTGCCCCCGTTGGTGTCGTCTTTAATTCTGCCAATCTGATCGAATTGGAAAAATTGGGGGGCGTTGTTGTAATTGTTGTTATTGTCGTCGTCGTCATCATCAGCCCTTGTACCATTATTATAGGCACTTGTACCATTATTATAGAGAAGAGATGTCTCAAAAGAGTTCATTCTTGTGTTTGTTGTGGTTGTGCCCATCAGTTGTTTCCATTGCTCCTCAGCTCCTCCCATTGCTACCATATCCCCTTCCATCATCTTCATCCAGTCAAAACTCCTGGGGTTTAAAATAATCCACATACAAAATAAGCTGATTTAATTAATATGCCCAAACATAGATGCATGCCATCACAAATACACAAGTCAAATTTGAAATAAAAATTTGAAAAAAACTGCCTGCACGAAATTTATGTCCAACAAATCAAATGTTACAAGGAACTAATAGTCTAATACATGTAAAAGTGCATGTAGGATTGAAAATTTACCAGAGTTGTACTTTATTAAAGTTAAAAAAACTGTACAAAAAGAAGTGTTTTTTATCAAAACATGAGAAGTACTAGTACGAGTAGGTATTATGCCTGAGAACCCTTTTTCCTACAATCTGTACATGACTAGAAATGCCTAAACAATAGGAATTAAGGTCTTGTTTGGTGAGAGTCCTTCTATCATGGTTGAACACTTGAATTTTGTGAAACTTAATTGTTACTGACCTTCAATTCAAGCAAATGCCCAAGTCAAAAGCAAGGATACAACAACAACAAAACAAAACCGAGAAACCACGGGATGGATTCTAAAGAAATGAAAATATTAAGTTATTTTCATTTCACTATCATTATCTACCTTTATTTCTCTCATACCTTATATTTATATGATCATGATAAAATATGTAAAGAATAATTTACACTTTATAATTGAATAATAACAATTGCATAATAACATATTTTAAAATTGACTCAAATTTAGTCAGATTTGAGCTAAAAACAGGAGTAAGAAATCACTCGTTTTTAGGAATTTTACCAAGAAGAAAGTCAAAAAACAGCGCTTAATCCAAACGGCTCAGCCTAACCCAGTGATCAGTTGGTGGGTTGATCAGACCCGGAATACAAAATAGCCTAGATGGTCAGACCAGACCAGGCCAACCGAACCGTTAGTGGGTTGGTTACCCGTGATGGGCCGACCCGGAATACAAGATAGCCAACCCAGACCCACCGAGCAGTTGGTGGCTAGATCAGCCGTGAAGGGCTGAGCCGGAAAACAAGATAAACCCATCGATGGGCCGAACCGGAAAGACCAACCCAGAATACAGGACCGCGATTGGGTAAAGAGGAAAAGCTGACCAACCTGTGCGATTCACTGAAATTGGAGAGCGAGAGCTTAAGCTCCTTCATATTAGGATCATCAAAAGTCTGGGTTCGCTTGTTTGGAGATCCAGCCATAAAGTTTGACAGGGATGGTGTATCAGCAGATTGAATCGGAGGAGGAGGTTGAAGGGTGCGACTCTTCTTGGAGGCGGTGTTCCCGGCGGCGGCGGGGGCGGGGGCGGCGTGATGATCTTCCACAGGCTTTCTTGAACGGGGACGGCCTCGGTGCAAATGCCGCTCACAGTATTTCTGGTTAGGCGCCACCTCTTTGGCGCACCTCCATTTCTTGCCATCTGTTCTTTTGCACCTTCCTGGCTCTAAATCTCTGTTCTTTCCCTCGACACCATAATGAACATTCCCACCTGAAACTGCCAGCAAAGAAATCTCAAATCCATTTATCCATAATCCATGTCATTTTCTCATACCGGGTAAATCTTAGTAATGAACTAATGATTAAAATAAGGTTAGGATGAGGTTCTTCTTACATGGAGGATTTGTGGTGTGGGATGCAAGATAGGTGTTTGTGGAAATGGGTAAGAGAAGATCAGAAGGAACAGGTACAGCTGCCATCATGTACTTATAAACCATTGCTTGTCTCTCCAGTTCTTTCCACTGTGTCCATGTAAATGGAAACCCCATAGCTGCAAAAAGATATCATTTTTATGTCATCATTAGGCAAAATAATGGGGGTAATAACTAATACTAGTAAGTTGTGAGTAAAACAGGAACCAGAAAATAGAGCAAGCTTGCATAATATACCTGGGGATTTGAATGGCAGGGGAGAATTATTGGAGTAGTGATGAGAAGGATGGGAAATCCGCACCCCTACCGCGCCGCCGCCGCCGCCGTAGCTAGTAAGAGTATGACGACCCATCACTTCATCGAACCCGCGGTAACTGCCAAAAAAGGCATTTCCATTTCCGGCGGCACCACCACCTGACGCCGCTGCCTTGTCGGAAAAGCTATACCCGTTAGCACCGTTTTCCATGACAATAGACCAGAAGATTCAAAACCCAACTTTATTTTTCCCTATCTATGAGTTACAGAAAAGCAACAAAGAAAGATGCTTTTAAAGTAACCTTGTTTCTTGAGCTTTGTCTTTCCAGGGTGGTGGGTGGGGGTACCTTTGATCTTGTTGGGTGGGTGGGGAGTAGGGGGTAGGGAGAGGGGCAATTTGGGGAAGTTTGGTTAGAAGTGTTTTGCCGCCATTATCGACCTTTGGTATGCTTCCATGCTTCCAACATTCGCACCGTTGTTATAGACAGAGCTGTAATAATGGCACCAAATTTCCTTGGGGTCCTCTATCTTATTATTGCGATATGTATCGTTTTCTGTATGATAAAGCATGGCTTAGGGTTCTAACGCCCCCACCTGCATTGCATTATTTTATTCAAAATTTACTCCACCATTTTGCTTTTTCTAGCTCTATTTCCCCAGAAAAAGTCAACCTCTTATTATTATTATTACTTGCAAAAAACTCTCTCTCTCTCAAACATTATTAACTCCTCTCTATCCAGTTTTTGCATACTTCGTACTCCGTGTTTAACTAACATTACGCAACGAATTAAAAATCATGTAATTGGAACTTGAACTGCAGATTGAAATAAAATACAGAGTAAAACCTTAAGTACTTAGTTGGAAGGCACGTAGTAATCTTTTTGGCAATCAGTAAGATGAAATAAGAGTAAATAGTCCATCGAAAAATGTTTTGTACATTTTTGTTGTTGTACACACTTACACATTATGTGGGTGTTTGGAAGTGATTCTGCTTCTGTTTTTAAAGCAAAAGCAGAATCATAATCAGTTTTCAGAATCTAGTCTCTTCCAGTTTCTAAAAAAATTGATTATAGGAGTAAATTAGAGCTTTAGAATCACTTCTGTACTTTCACCCAAACAACTCAACTTCTGATTCTACTACCTGAAGGAGCAGAAACAGTTTTATCCATTCTCTTTTCTCTCTTTTCATCCATATGCTCATATCCATACAGGTCTTCTTCCCCCCACTCTTCTTTTTTCTTTTTACTTCCACTTTCAAGTTTCAACACCTTCATATCCATTTCATAATCTTTCGTCTTCACCATATTCATTATCTTTCATCTTCCACACTCCATGTCCATCTACACCATCTACAACATCTTCAACTTCCATCAAACTCACCATATTCATCACCTCTCATCTTCACCATATTGCATATTCATCACCTCATCATCTTTTATGATCAACTAAAAAAAGAAGTTTGAGAGTCAACGAAAAGTTATCGGAAATTAGACATGAACATGTGATGGAATTTTTGTCTGTGTATTATATATACGGACACTTGTTTTTCAGCACTTGTGTGTCCATACAAAATTGTTAAGCACAAACAAAAATAGATGATTGTATATGTTTAAAGTATAAACATCTAAATGTCTGTGCATAGACATTGGTTTCCATGCAACCAAACTTTGGCATTTTTTAAATATAACACGGAACTCAATGTTTGTGTACAAACATTGAGTTATATGTACACGCAATTTGATTTTTTTTACATGTACATAACAACTTTATTTGTGTGTCCATACAAAATTGTTAAGCATAGACGAAATATGCTCATATTGTCTATGTACAAAAACTAAATGTTTGTATATGGTACATTGGTTCCCCGCAATCAAATCATGGCATTTTTTGCATTATAGCACGCAAACCAATGCATACGCACTGACATTTAGTTGTATACAAATAGACAATATGTACATTTTTTGTTTGTAGACGAAAAAATTTGTCTGGGTACGCATGCTTTAATAAAAACCCAATATTTGTATACAGAAACAAAAATTGAAAAGAATGTATTCTTAAATATTTGGAAGAATTTGTACTTATTCTCATGCTTTACGTACGTACTCCAAATTATGTTACGTAAGACTATATATTAATTCTAAAAACTAAAAATAAGGGGGCGAGCGCGCGCACACACATATCTAATTAAAGTATTAAATTTTTACATATATAATAAAAAAAATTGAAAGCCCAAGAAGGAGGCGACCCCCCCCCCCCCCATGTGTCCTCTCCCTAAATCCATCCATGAAAGTCTCTAATCCTTGATCTAGAATAAAACCAGACGACATGTTTCAGGTTACATAAAGTTTTTAATATGCTTTAGCGTGGAAGTGCGTTGAGGTTTGGAAACATACTTGCTTGCACTAGAGCAATTCATTGTGGAAATATATATTGGCACACTTTTTTATACTCCCAACTTTGCATGTGCAAACACATATAAGTGTATGAAATATGTACAGAAAATGTGTACACCAAACAACTTTCATTCATTGTCAGTCAAACATATAAAACCATCTTTTTAATAGATTGGAACTGTCAAGTTATGTCAAACCAGTCTTCTTTTTCTAAAACTAAATTTTCAAAAGATATAAGCCAAAATGGTTTGAGCCCGTAGCTCATCCCCTTCATTATCAGGTCAATCTTGTAAAAATTGATATCATACTATTGCGTACATTTTTTGTAGTTAAGTTAGGGCATATTTTTTGCATAAAGATTTTCCAGTGTTTCACATGTGGATATATAGTTATCACAAAATTCCTATAATAATATTGTACATCTATATGTAAACTAATATATATTTTGATTTATAACATTTTAATGAATGTATTTAAGCGTGAAAATGTAGTTGTATAAACAAAATGACCTGTTAAATAAATGGCAATACATAATCAGAAATGTTTAGCACATGAATACATATATTAATAATTTTATTATTTAAGAATGACACTTTAAATAAAATGGCAATGCATAAGTGAGAATTAGATAACATTTTAGCTACATAAAGATTTACTTATTGTTGCCGTAAATATGTCCAAATGTGCTCAACCAAATCGTGGTTAAGTTAGTGATTTATTTGTGAATCACACATTTCGAAATTGAGAAGAATGTATTCTTGGAAGATAGGTTGGCACCATGGTTTACAATTAGTGGATCTTCTGCATGCACCTCCATTTTCATATATGAATAAGTTCAGCTTATTTACCATCACACTAATTAATTGCATCATCTCCTTCATCCCAACAATCTTCTGGTGCAAAAAATACATACATACATGATACTACCTTTGTCCCATTAAGATTGAGACATGATGAGGTTGTGTAGTTATTAAAAAATGAGTTTATGTGGATAGATTTTGAATTTATAAAGTAAGAATAAAGTAAAAATAATTTAGAATTATACAATCTTAATGGGACAGACCAAAAAAGAAAGATGACACAATCTTAGTGGGACAGACCAAACAAGAAAGATGACACAATCTTAACGGGATAGAGGGAGTATCACGTATAAAAAAACTTTATCCCAATAACATCCAGAGTATTTTATAATTCACCCCAATGAGTTTGAAGCACTCCAAATGCTCGTTCAATACTCTTTCTTACATCCTCTTGTATTTCTTTGAACTTCTTTCTTTTGGGATCTAAGAGGAATGAAAAGCTTTTAGCGAAGGTAGCTTTTCCTGGGTATATCCCTTCTTTTGGATAATATCTTTTCATATATGGCGGGCCATTTACTGTAAAGTTGACTTTGAGAGCAACACCTTGTAGAAACAGTGGAGACTCATTTAGCACATGCATTCGCATCTTTGCGCGACCCTGCAAAATCTAGAAAGAGCATGACATGCCCATAAATTTGCAAATGCTATGACTTCAAGCACAATTGTTGGAACGCCACGGGTACCTCTAGTCAATTGACCATTCCAAACAATGGGACAATTCCTCCATTACCAATGCATACAATCAACTAATCAAGACTACCCAACATGCGAGGAAATCAAGCCTTTGCTCACATAATCTAAGGGTTTGTTTGCAATTGCTTCTCCTTAAAAAAGGCACTTTTTGGAAAAAGTGATTAGTAGTAAAAGTTGGTAGTGTTTGGTAAAATAAGTGTTTTTTGTGTAATAGAAAGAGTAAAAGCGCTTTTCACATGAAAGCCGGGAAAAGTAAAAGTTGTTAGTGTTTGGTAAAATAAGTCCTTTTTAAGCCAAAGGCTGGGAAATGTTTTTTTCTAGAGTTTGCAAACAAAGCCTAAGTTAGCGTTTTATGACTTCCGCATTGAGCCTTCTTAAATATTCATTCCCAAAGAGTTTGACCACACATTCACATATGTTCTTTCAACTTTTTATGGAAGTGGCTTCAACAAGAGCCTAATATAAATGTTAGGTTGTGAAGGGCCGTCATTCATTTTTGTGTTGCAAGCAATCCTATTTTGAGACACCCATCTTCCATTTGCTGAAAGTAAATGAAATAGTTTTATATTGCATGGACTATTCTCATTAACAATCCAACTTCAGTATGAATATTGGATCATTAGCACTTTTTCATAACTGAATAATCCAGTATTTTCGGACATGCTTTCTTAATTGAGACTTGAATGTTGAGACGTTCTTGAAAATTGATAATAATTTATTGAAGATAAAATTGGTGAAGTCAAAGAATAATAAAATAACATCTTGTTATGATCCACACAAACTAGTGAAGTGAAAGAATGAGCTATTTCATAAGGCTAGTTTCTACTAGTTAGTTTCTAATGGCTAGTTTCTAATATATTTGCAAGATTCAATATATTTAGTATATTATTTAAGGGTACATGTTTACAGACACTAATGTGCTGAAACTCACTTCATTGAGTTTCGAACCCTTATGTGCCTAGCGGATTTCGAACTCGAGACCTCCCACTAGGCACGATAACCTCACAACCAGCTGGGTTGCAATGCTTGGTTATATAACCTGCCCACATATATACTACATGTACGAAGATCTATTAGGTGGTTTTAATACAAGTTACACACGTAATTTATAATACTTAATATTTATTTACTAGTTTATTTAAAAAGAGGCTATTTATGATTTTTTTGCAAGTTTATTTACCAATTAGGAGTAGTTGATATACGAAGTGCTATAATTTCAATTAATTTTCTAAAATGTTATCAGTAATATACTAGAAATGCACAAAATAATCATAGTACGAACAAAAAGGAATAAGAGATGCTACTTAAAGCTATAAGTTAACACACTTTAGTGGCAATGTAAAATAAATAAAACTTCTTGTTCAAGCAATACATAGTGTGAACTTGTTCACATAGCTTCTCAAGGTCTCTCTTTTGTTGGGTGTTCATACCGTTAATATCTTTAAAAGGGAATCAAGGCATTTAGGTTTAACTTCTTCCTTTTATCTTATTATTTCAGTTTGTTGTCGAAATTTCTTTAGTTCTTGTTCATAAACGCATATCCAGATGTTGGTCAGCTCACTTTGTGA